TATTCTTCTTATTATTATTATTATTGTTATTATTATTATTATTAGTAGTAGTAGTAGTAGTAGTATTGATGATGATGTTGATGATACATTTAGTATAAAGCTTTACTATCATTATGATCAAACAAATTATTAAATATTATATATATATATATATGCAACATTCCTTGGGAATAATATATGACATTATGTATATACTTAACAAATGTCATAATTCATACTTTCTACAAATACCTAGTCACTCTTCACTCACACATTCCACGACACCGTACATTCCCTGTGCCAAGTCCCTGAGGGTCACTACTTTTGAACTACTATTTCCATAAGATCTCCTATCAAGATAATAGTCGATAGAGAGTGAGAAGTTGATTTCAGATTGTGTTTACTGTATCAGATTTTCAGTGGCGCAGATGTTTACACAGACGTGCGGTGAGTATTTGTCGGAATTGCTTCTTGTAGCCTTCCGCAAACTTCTCGCGACACTTTGCCGGAATGTTTGCTCATTCTTCCTGGTAGAACTGGTGTGAATCAGTCAGGCGTGTGTGCTTCGTTCCTCACACGTGCTTCTTCAGTTCCGTCCACACATTTCCTATGGGATTCGGGTCAGGGCTTTGGAGGTATTGTATGTTTGGGACCACTGTCCTGCTGGAAGACCCATTTCTGACCAAGTTTGAACTTTCCAGGTGATGTCTTGAGGGTTTGTTTACACATTATGTTGCCATCAATTTTGTGAACTCCTCCAGTCGCTTTTCCAGTAAAACACACCACAACATGATGCTGCCATCCCCATCACGGACAGTGCTGGCGTGACGGTTAAGGCTCCTGGTTACTCATCAGAAGGTTGGGGATTCAAGCCACAGCACTGCCAAGCTGCCACTGTTGGGCCCTTGAGCAAGGCCCTTAACCCTCTCTGCTCCTGGGGGCGCTGTATCATGACTGACCCTGTGCTCTGACCCCAGCTTCCTAACATGCTGGGGTATAGGAAGAAAAGAATTTCACTGTGCTGTAATGTATATGTGACTAATAAAGACTCATTATCGTGCTTCACAGTGAGGTTTGTTCTCTTCAGGTTAAAACCCTCACCGTTTTTCCTCCATCTGACCACTGAACACTTCTCCAAAATGGCTGGTGATCACATGCAAGTTAGAGTAGAGGCTTCTTCCTTCCATGACAGCATTTCAGGCCTCCAACTCCTTTGTTGTTATCTTGGGGTTCAGCTGAACCTTTAGGACCAAAGTTTGTTCCTAGGAGCTAATTTGTGTCTCCTACCTGAACGAGTGCCCGTGTTATCCCATGGTATTTGCATACAGATGTTTAAACGTGGTACCTTCAGTCAATTTGGAAATTGTTCTGAAGGAGAAACCAGACCTGTAGAGGTCTCAGATGTTTTCTGAGGCCTTGGCTGAGTTGCTTGGATTTTTACATGGTATAAAGGGCAAAAAGGTTCTGTCTTTAAAAAGACGCCCTTTTAAAGCCATAGGTATGCACCCAATTAACTCCTAATTATGACAATTGGCCAATCAGAAGTGTCTAAAAGTATTCCATCAATTTGTGGAATCATCCATTTGGCATCAACAGTGAATGATATATTTACGTTTAGATACGTTTATAAATATAGTTGTGTTGACTAATATGTAACACAACTTCCCTCTGTGTGTGTGTGTGTGTGTGTGTGTTAGAGGGAGATGCAGCTGCAGGACCAGCGGTTGGCGCGTCAGCTGATCCGTCTGCGTGGCGAGCTGCACCGGCTGAAGGTGGAGCGTGTGTGCGATGGACATCGGGAGATGCTGGATGACGCGACGCTCGAGCTGGAGGAGTGGGGTGAGGAGCGTGACCTGCTGTGTGACGTGCCGCTCAAGGCCGCCTTCACCCTGTCCACACCGCTCAAGCACCTCGGCCTCACCAAGATGAACCTCAACGCCCGCCGCTTCTCCCTCTGCTGAACAACTCCGGATCCTTGAAGACTGAACGATCTCGCGAGCTACAAATAGACCAATTAAGAGATCGAGTCTTCTCTTCACAGCTCCTGAAGATCTAAAGATCTGTAGCTTTAATGACGTCAGTGTCCAACACTTCTGAAAGCCATGGTGTGTTTGAGATGGGATCTGCAGCTTAGAAAAGATCCCAGAAGCTACAGAATTGTCCTAAAAAAGACAAAAAAAACAGGTTGAGCTTCCATATTTTAGCTCTTGGAGATCAGGAGTCTGTGGTTTTGCTAATGTTCCAGGGTTGAAGCTCAGCGTAACCTTAAGGTTCTCTTTGTTAGAGAACGTGACGCCTTTGAAACCCCCTTAAAAAGACCTTCAAATTCAGATATATTACAAGCTACAGGATTAAATGAAATTAAAGTTCAAATTCAAGCACTGCCAGGCCGCCTCTTCTGGGAATTTGGTTAGGTGACCCTGAATTTGGACCTCCAGCTTCCTTTCAAATTGGTGTGACAGGACAAAAAGAAGAAACACAACGGCACCACAGTTGATAAACGTGTACTAACTGTCCTCAAAATAAACGAGGATCAATACATTAATTTACAAATTTTTTAAAAAGATGAATGGTGGCTGGAGAACTCCATTCCCAAGGAAATAAGCCATAACGCCTACCAAAGATAAACCAAGCCTCAGATTGTGGATACCAATCGTCCTGAGCTCAACTTTTGGGACTCCAATGTTTGTGCTGTGGCCTTAATATTAAGTGCCATAACATCGTGGGTGTAAATAACACTAAGAAAGTTATTAGAACCGATGAAGAACATCGTATAAGTAGAAAATGTATTCACGATTAAGGTGTGTGTTCTGTTCGGGTCAAATGAATGTTTTTTGTTTTGTTTTGTTTTTACTTAAAGCGGAACCATATAATAAACAATTCTTCTTTTTCTTTCTTTCCAGCATTAAAGTTTATGCGCTTAGCTCATTTACTCAGGTTACGTTCAGGCGATTTCGACCCGGGAACGAAACAGATTAGAGAAGTAGTTCATTAATGGTTCAACTGACACCAACGGCTCTTTACAAAAATACCCGAATGTCACATTACCGAAGCAGAACACAAGACCGCAAATAACACCGTCACTGTTTACGGAAATAACGAAGTAGTTCTGGGAGCGAAAGATCCCCGTCTCTAACACTTCCATAACTACAAACGGTAAAAACCCTCAAATATCTGACCGAGATCAAGGAGGCCCTCGACGATAAGGATTTTGAATACTGGCTTCCGATTGGCCAGAAGGTGTTGATTAAATTTCTCTAACAGCAGCTCTGACAGTAGCGCAGCTGTTCGTATTAACGCGCTTGCGCTAATACGTCGTCGTTTCTAAAGTAAACAGCTCGTTCACAGGGACTTGCGTAAACCGTGTGGAATCATCGATATGGGTTTTCTGCAAGGAGACGTTTATTTAAGGAGTCTTCGGTGTCAGCGCTCTGTACTCTTACGAGCTTTCAGACACCTTTAGGACGGAGGAGTTTACACCGCAGAGCTGTTTATACTCTAGCTGCTATAACATAAGTGATAGCAGGAACCTAACGGGTTTTCCTAGACATGCCGCAACAATAAACGCACAACTATAAATGGATAAAAAAACCATTCTTTAACAATTGTTGGGAAGTTTCTGTAATATATGTGCTGTATTTGGAGATTAGTCAACACTCCATCGTTGGTTATTTCCTTATACTTGAACTGCACTCCTCTAAGGACGTTCAGGCTTCATGTTGTCGCCATGAAACCTAACATGGGCCTGTAAAATAACTTGAGATGATGAAGAACAGAGTGATGTTTCTCCTCGAATCAGATGAACACTGATCTAATTCCGTTCGTGAACAAAGACGTGACGTGATCGTCGGCATTGAGATCGAAATGTCGGAACAGACTTCGCTGGCCGAGCTGGATTGATCCTCACTCTCTTTCCTTCTCATCCCGACCTGGCGGCTAACCAAAAATCCTGCTCGGAATTCCGGACACCCCGTTACTAAAGCCCAAAAATAACAGTCAGATATTGGGAGAGACTAGTTACTGCTCGTGCGCCCGACAAAAGCAAGCCGAACTGTTTATCATATTGTTAATATAACCACAACTGTTCTAAAATAAATAGATATTTTTTTCCTTTCCATGTTAATGGAAATGGGCAGGGGTGGCTCAGTGGTTATATAGGCTCTGGGTGACTGATCAGAAGGTCAGGAGTTCAAGCCCCAGCACTGCCAAGCTACCACTGTTGGACCCTTGAGCAAGGCCCTTAACCCTCACCTGCTCAGTTGGATAAATGCCATAAAATGTCAATGTAAAAAAATGTTAATAATGATGGCTGAATGTGCAAAAGACTACACGCTTTCAATAAACTCACTATAAAGCCCAAATTCATAAAGCTTTTTTTTTATACACCAGTATACACATGGATTTCAAGTCATTTCAAGGGGAATCCTTCATGGGGAAAGTTGGGAAGGAGTTCTCATTCCGGAATATGGAACCGGGAATAAATGTGGGATCAATGCAGCAGTGGTAGCGGTGTAAAATTTCCAACACCAATAAAGCGCTCCTCGACTTCTGCATAGGACGACGATCAACACTCGACTACTTCTGATTTGTAGGATGTGTAAATGCTTACAGTAGTATTTACTTTAGAGCAATCGACATAAACACATTCGTTGGTTAAATCTATAACGCTGACCATACAGTTCGTGATTTTGAGAAATCTCACGAGCTACAGACAGACCACGTATGAGATCGAGTCTTCTGAAGATCTAAAGATCTGTAGCTTTAATGACGTCAGTGTCCAACACTTTACACTTACCACACTTACAAAAGATCTCAGAAGCTAGAGAATTGTCATTAAAAAATAAAAAAAACCAGGTTGAGCTTCCATATTTTAGCTCTTGGAGATCAGGAGTCTTTGGTTTTGCTAATGTTCCAGGGTTGAAGCTCAGCGTAACCTTAAGGTTCTCTTTGCTAGAGAATGTGACGCCTTTAAAACACCCTAAAAAAGCAAATGAGGATCAATAAATGTAATAAATACTCTGGGCGCATGGTGGCTTAGTGGTTAGCGTTTCGCCTCACACCACCAGGGTCGGGGGTTCGATTCCCACCGTGGCCCTGTGTGTGTGTGCGGAGTTTGCATGTTCTCCCCGTGCTGCGGGGGTTTCCTCCGGGTACTCCGGTTTCCTCCCCCAGTCCAAAGACATGTACGTTAGGCTGATTGGCATGTCTAAAGTGTCCGTAGTGTATAAATGGGTGTGTGAGTGTGTGTGTGATTGTACCCTGCGATGGACTGGCACCCTGTCCAGAGTGTACCCCGCCTTGTGCCCGATGCTCCCTGGGATAGGCTCCAGGTTCCCCGTGACCCTGAAGAAGGAGTAAGCAGTATAGAAGATGGATGGATGGATGGATGGATGGACTCTATACTCTACCCTCTATAGGCTCAGACGCAGTTCAAGCTATTAAAACACGATGTGTATTGCTATACAGCTATAATTATCACACTCCGCGCTGCAACACGTTCCTCCGATCCTCTAGCACCGCTCGACTGGTCCCACCATCTCTCAGGTCACAAGGAAGGCATTCATCAAGACTCTTGTCTGTTCTGGCACCTAGATGACACCTAGGAGCAAACAACATTTAAAGACCCGCCTCTTTCTTCCGAAAGTACTTCAATTAGCCCCAAAATGGTGTTGTCTGTGTGTTTTTTATACTATATTACCTCAATACAGTTTTTAGACTGATGGTATTCTTAGTCCATGACCTAGTGAACCAGTATCAGGATGTATTTGACTTCATGAGTCTCGGGGGAAAGCACACAAATACCATTAAATAAATAATTAAAAAATAATAGGTTTAAGTTATATTTATAGTACAGAGATGACTCTCGGGGCATTTTGTCCCTGAGACTAACAAGATGTCTAAAAATAACTTGTGTTTGTGAACTTGAATCCAAAAAAGGTGACGATCTTTCCATCACTGTTCATCATCATGGAGATGAACATATAAACAGAGGATCTGAACACGGATATCGCGGTCAGTTAAACAGATTATGTGTGGGAGTGGGATGGAAGTAGTGAAGGGTGGCCGTATGAGACGACAATACAATAACAATAACAACTGAGCACAAAGAGAGAGAGAGAGAGAGAGAGAGAGAGGGAGAGGGTGGGGAAGTGTGTGTAGTGAAAGAGATTCAGACTGAGAGCAGAGTGAATAAATGAACTTGTATAGATCTGCCCTTCTTTGTTGAAAGCGTGTTTCGTTTCTCTCAGGGTTTGGGTTACGGATGTTGTTTCAGTATCAACACACCCTCCAGGCGTTTGAGACAAAATACCGAGCATCGCTTAAATATCATGTTATTTTGGCCTCAGGCGGCCAAATGGTGACAGGAGCAGGAATGTCAGTAGATTATTTTCCCTTTAATTTGACACCAATCATTTTCATACATTTGGTCTAAATTAGGACATTAACACCGTTGAGTTCCTGATCACAGAGACTGCAAAATGTCAAGGACTTCCTGTAAAATGTTGAATTTAACCACCAAAACCACATCATCCAGTCATAAACTCATAGCTGTGAGTAAAGTCGTGAATTAATCCGCTGATTGAACTATTCTACCCCCGTGGGCCTTATGGAAAAGTGACATTTCACATCTGATTATATCGACCACACAGTCCCGTCTGAAAGTATTGGAACGGCGAGGCCAAAGTCTTTTGTTTTCGCGATACTCTGGAGACATTTTGAGTTCGAGCGCAAAATATGAGATCAGAATTTCAGCTTTGCATCTAGACGTGTTAAACGCTCAGGACATCGGACCTTTCGTTTAAATCCACGTATCTTTCAGTTGATCAAAAATATTGGAGCATGTGTCTGACAGGTGTTTCTTTTTGCCCAGGTGCGCCCTGTTAAATTGAATATCTTAAAGTGCACCGATTATGCATTTATGTGCATCTGAAGTCAAAAAACACTTCAACGTGCTCATCATTTAAACTGCACCGTTACATATTTTCCCCCCCAGAGTCACAAACGACTCGTTAAATGATTCGTTCAACTCCTCCTTTCAGAGAGCATACTCTGCTCTGATTGGTCTGATGTCCCAGTCTTCTGTGATTGGGCTGTCAGCGAGCAGCCGATGAAGACGAGAGGCGGGGCTTTTTGTTACAAACCTACGTAGGTTAGTACAGGAAGTAACGTCTGGAATCACTAACGAGTCGATTCAGCTGTTCAGAATCGATTCCTCCGTTTGGGAGTCAATGATTTTTGACACTTTGCAGACGTTTTTACGTTCGCAAACAGCTCCGTATATAACGCACTACATGAAAGGGAATATTTGAAAAACCACAATAGGTGTAGTATTATGATCTATTAGTGCATAGATCTACTCGTGGTTTGTGCCCTGGGTTTCGCCTGTGAAAACTGCATTTGTTGTTACAAATGGAGAACCACATGAAGCTCAGAGAGATGTCTATGGGTGAAAAAAAGAGAGCCATTTTTGAGCTGAGAAAGAAGCCGAAACAACAATTTGGAATGTCCTGAAAAAGAAAGAAACCACTAGTATAGTAACAAGCAGACATGGGAGAAAACAACAGCAGGTGATGGCAGAAACACTGTGACAAACACATCTACAGTACACCAGATGTAAATATCAGGAAATAAAAAGCTGAAATTCTGATTGGCCGTGATGTTCCGATACTTTCGGAGGGTATGTGATCAGGTGGAAAACAATTATCATCTGAAAAATAACATCGCGTGCCTTACATGTGTAAGGATCAACATGGGAAACTGGGGAAACCCAGAACACCCCCCGACCCCCCGACAAAATCAGAATCTCGGAAAATAACCAAATCATGCTTTAAAACCGAATCATCAGACTCTCATATCCAAATTAAACGATTCGTTTACAACTCACGTGACCGTGAGTGCATCTTGTTTAAAAATCTTATGTGAATCATGTGAAAATACGCAGGGAAAATAAACGAATAACGTACAAATCCAAACGGAGATGGAGAAAATGTAAAAAAAAATAAATAAAAAATAATAAAATGTATGTGAAAAAAAATCCAACGTGTAAAAAGGGCGTAAAACCACATGGAGAATAAATGAGTGTGTAGAAATGGCATGTGCAGGTAAACTAATACGTGTAAGAAATGCAAACGTTGTGTTAAAATGGCAGGTGAAAATAAAGGAATCGTGTGTATGAATGTTGTATAAAAATAAAATCAAATGAATCACGGAAAAAAAAAAAAGTCAATCAGATAGCTACATAAATGGCTCAATTTTCGAGGTTTTATTTACATTAGTAATTGGACTTTTATATGAGTAAACATTTTGGTCGATATGGCTTTGTGGCTAGGAAGTGTGAAAACACCCAGGACGTAGTATCTAGGTTTTATGTCATGTTTAGAGCGGACACAGAAACTCGATATAAAAATAGCCTTCGCTCGCGGCACCTCATCGGGGATGAAAATAACGCTTTAAAACACCGCCAGTGCAAAAAAAAAACATGAACAGCTTATTATTATTATTATTATTGTTGTTGTTGTTGTTTTGCTTGAATGAATCCATTCCTCTTATCCTTTTGTATCATGGTAAGACGTTAGCATTGCTAACTCTTTGCTAACAAGCGTTGCCACCTCTTGCTGATGTCATGATGAAGGGCAAAAAATAAACGCATAAATGACAGAAAAATAGCTACAAGATAGAGAAGCTGACGAAGCTTGTTACTGTCGTAGCTTGTTAGTGTTCAATTCATTTAACGTTGGCTAACATTAGCAAACGCTAGCATACTGTACGGTATATCGAACCGGATCTGTAACTGAAATGGAAGTTCCTACACTTACGGGTTTGGTCAGAGAAAGTTCCCAAAATTCCATTACTGGAATTCCCACTCAGTCTTTGACTGTAATGGGTTTTTTTTTCCGCCAATCAGGGACAAATCAAGGTGATAATTACATTTGCTTCCACATTGCTAATTAGACTAATACGCGTCCTGTCAAACACGAGCACTCGGGACACACCCTATACTGCGAGGAGGATCTACAAACGTGCCATTGTGCATTTGTTTCTAATCAAGTGAATGATGTAATCTCAGGATCTGTAAACGTGGACGATGCAAGTAAACCCATACTTTATAATGTGCGTGTGTGTTTGTGTGTGTGTGTGTGTGTGTGTGTGTGTGTATGTCCACGTTCGGACCTCTTTCTTTAACTCACCATGCCCTTTAAATCAATAAACCAATCTGCCATTGTTTAGAGATCTTGAATAAAGAGCGCAGTTCAAACACACACACCCACTTTCGGTTCACTGAGCACCACAAAAATGCAGGTTTATTAACCACAGTGCAACAGTCACGAGCTCACAGAGTTGGTGTGGTGTTAGAGTGAAACGTGGTGGACCAGGTTTGAGCATCGAATGCTAGAGCATGTCGCTAATTTCCTGCAAGTGAGCTAGCCGACTTCCTGCGAGAGGCTGTGCAACGTCTGCAGAATGTGGTGAGAGAGAGAGAGAGAGAGAGATTGAGAGAGATTGGGAGAGGGGAGAGAGAGAGAGAAAGAGAGATTGAGAGAGGGAAAGAGAGAGAGAGAGATTGAAAAGAGATTGGGAGAGGGGGAGAGAGAGATAAAGAGAGATTGAGAGAGAGAAGAGAGAGAGAGAGAGAGAGAGAGAGAGATTGGGAGAGGGGAGAGAGGAGAGAGAGAGAGAGAGAAATTGGGATAGGGGAGAGAGAGAGAGAGAGAGAGAAAGAGAGAGAGAGAGAGATTGAGAGAGGGAGGGAGAAGAGAGAGAGAGATTGAGAAGAGAGGATAGAGGAGGAGGGAGAGAGAGAGAATGAGAGAGATGAGGAGAGAGAGGGGGAGAGAGAGAGTGAGAGAGAGAAGAGGAGAGAGCGGGAGAGAGAGAGAGAAAGAGAGTTATATGAGAATAATCAGTAACAGAGCTCCAGTTACCCCCCTGAAGTTGATTAGTTTCCTACAACAGCACGTCCTGAAGTGTTTGCTCTCTCTCTCTTTTTTCTCTCTGTCCCGAAGGTGTCAGGAGACGTCAAGTTTAAGCTTTTACGAAGTTTTACGACACACCAACGTCTGTCACGCCCGTCCCTGTGAACGAGCTGTTACCATA